GATGGCACAGAGCTGCCAAGAGTTTGCTCCCAAGAATCTTAGGTGGGTTAATTAAATCCTTCATTTTCAAGAATTTTACATGAGTTAATTAAATCCTTGATTTTCAAGAATTTAACATGACTTAATTAAATCCTTGATTTTCAAGAATCTTACATGGATTAATTAAACCCTTGATTTTCAAGAATTTAACATGGGTTAATTAATTCCCTGATTTTCAAGACTCTTACATGAATTAATTAAATCCTTCATTTTCAAGAATTTAACATGGGTTAATTAAACCCCTGATTTTCAAGGATTTTACGCAGGTTAATAAATTCCTTGATTTTCAAGACTCTTACATGGCTTAATTAATTCCTTGATTTCCAAGAATTTAACATGAGTTAATTAAATCTTTGATTTTCAAGAATCTTACATGGATTAATTAAACACTTGATTTTCAAGAATTTTACACAGGTTAATTAAATCCTTGATTTTCAAGAATTTTACATGGATTAATTAAATCCTAAATTTTCAAGAGTTTTATATGGGTTAATTAAATCCCTGATATTCAAGAATTTTACATGGATTAATTAAATCCTTGATTTTCAATAATTTTACATGAGATAATTAAATCCCTGATATTCAAGAATTTAACATGGGTTAATGAAATCCTTGATTTTCAAAAATCTTACATGGATTAATTAAACCCTTGATTTTCAAGAATCTTACATGGATTAATTAAATCCCTGATTTTCAAGAATTTTACATGGCTTAATTAAACACTTGATTTTTAAGAATTTAACATGGGCTAATTAAATCCTTGATTTTCAAGAATCTTACATGGATTAATTAATTCCTTGATTTTCAAGAATTTAACATGAGTTAATTAATTCCTTGATTTTCAAGACTCTTACATGGCTTAATTAATTCCTTGATTTCCAAGAATTTACATGAGCTTAATTAATTCCTTGATTTCCAAGAGTTTTACATTGATTAATTAAACCCTTGATTTTCAAGAACCTTATATGGGTTAATTAAACCCTTGATTTTTAAGAATTTAAAATGGGCTAATTAAATCCTTGATTTTCAAGAATCTTACATGGATTAATTAAACACTTGATTTTCAAGAATCTTACATGGATTAATTAAATCCTTGATTTTCAAGAATTTTACATGGATTAATTAAATCCCTGATTTTCAAGAATTTTACATGGCTTAATTAAACACTTGATTTTTAAGAATTTAACATGGGCTAATTAAATCCTTGATTTTCAAGAATCTTACATGGATTAATTAAACACTTGATTTTCAAGAATTTAACATGAGTTAATTAATTCCTTGATTTTCAAGGATCTTACATGGGTTAATTAAATCCCTGATTTTCAAGAATCTTACATGGCTTAATTAATTCCTTGATTTCCAAGAGTTTTACATTGATTAATTAAACCCTTGATTTTCAAGAACCTTATATGGGTTAATTAAACCCTTGATTTTCAAGGTTCTTACATGAGTTAATAAAATCCCTGATTTTCAAGAGTTTTACATGAATTAATTAAATCCTTGATTTTCAAGAATTTTACACAGGCTAATTAAATCCCTGATTATCAAGAATCTTACATGAATTAATTAATTCCTTGATTTTCCAGGCTCTTACATGAGTTAATTAAATCCTCTGCTCACATGGATTTCCAAGACATAAAATACTTTTACTCCCAACCCTCATCATCCTCATTTTGGATTGGAAAAAATGGAGCAAAAAAACCAAGATATTTGTGTCCAGCAGAGGAAAAACCAATGAAAACCCAAACCACAGCCCTGGCTCCACTTCCCAAATTTTCCTTCACAATTTAAAATTCCCAGAGAATTCCCTGGCAGCACCCAAGGCCAGGCTGGATGGAATTTCATCACTCGCAGGGAAGCGCTAAGGGCAGAATAAATGAATTTATGTTTATGAATTTACGTGAATTTATGTTTTATAATATTTATTATTATATTTTGATGAATTTTGTGGTTTTTTTTTTTGCTCTTACTGACCATTAAAAATGTAGGCAGCATTCAGGGCCAGCTGTCTCTGCTGCAGGACGTTCAAGTAGAAAGTTGCTCTGTCCCGCACTTCGTCGTCACTGTCCATCATGCACCTGTTTGGGGACAAGGGGGACATCAGAGCTGAGCTAAAAATCAATTAAAAAAAATGAAAAAATAAATGGATTTTGATACTGCAGCATCATTCAGATTTTTTCAAATGGTGCAAAAATGCTTTGGTACCACGCAGGAGTTGGTTTAATTTCAATTAAATCGTTAGTGTGGCGTGAAATGTGAATCTGTGACGTGGGAATGGCTCAATTCTGGGAACAAAAATGTTATTTCTGAGTCATCTGGACAGGGATTTTCTTGTTCTGAGAGGTGTTAAAAGTGCTCAGATGTTGAAAAAGTTCTGGAGGGGGAGGGTGACTTTTTATATGTATTTTTTAATAATGTTTTATATATATTTTTAATATTTTACGATTTGGGCTTAATTAAATCCTTGATTTTCAAGGACCTTACATGAGTTAATTAAATCCTTGATTTTCAAGGATTTTACATGAGTTAATTAAATCCTTGATTTTCAAGAATTTTACATGAGTAATTAAATCCTTGATTTTCAAGGACCTTACATGAGTTAATTAAATCCTTGATTTTCAAGAATCTTACATGGCTTAATGAAATCCTTGATTTTCAAGAATTTTACACAGGTTAATTAAATCTTTAATTTTCAAGAATTTTACATGAGTTAATTAAATCCTTGATTTTCAAGAATCTTCCCTGGCTTAATGAAATCCTAGATTTTCAAGGATCTTACGTGGGTTAAGTAAAACTAAATTAATTAAAATTAATTGAAATGAAAATAATTTTAAAATGAAATTGAATTAATTAATTGAAACTCAAAGAGATTTGTGCTGGATGTGAGGAAGAAATTGCTGTGTGTGAGGATGAGGAGGCTTTGGCAGCTGGAAGATCCAGGCTGGACGAGGCTCAGATCATCCTGGGGTAGCGGAAAGAGAAAATCCACGGAAAGGGTGGCACTGGATGAGTTTTAAGCTCTTTCCAACCCAAAATAATAACTCTGTGATTTATTTTTCCTTGAGCAACGTTCTCAGACTCAATCCTCATCCCATGTTTCTGTGACCAATCCCATCCTTCACCTCCAGCAGCGCAGGAAAAGCGGGAGAGGAGTTTTCCCTGTCCCTGGTTGGGATTGACAAAATCCCAGCCTGGTGGGAGATCTCTGCTCCCAGGGAATCAGGGGGATCCCAGCCACCCCAAGTTCTCCTCTGGAGCACCAGGATGCTCAGGAGCAGATTCCAAGATCACTGTTCTCAGGGAATCAGAGGGATCCCTGCCACCCCAGCCTCACCTCTGGAGGAGCAGCACCAGGATGCTTGGAAGCAGATTCCAAGATCCCTGCCACCCAGGCTCTCCTCTGGAGCAGCACCAGGATGCTCAGGAACAGAGATCTCTGCTCCCAGGGATTCAGGGGGATCCCTGAAACCACAGCCTCACCTCTGGAGCAGCACCAGGATGCTCAGGAACAGAGATCTCTGCTCCCAGGGAATCAGAGGGATCTGTGCCATCACAAGCTCACTCTGCAGCAGCACCAGAATACTCGGGAGCAGATCCCAAGCTCGCTGCTCCCAGGGAATCAGAGGGATCCCTGCCACCCCAGCCTCACCTCTGGAGCAGCAGCACCAGGATGCTTGGAAGCAGATTCCAAGATCCCTGCCACCCAGGCTCTCCTCTGGAGGAACAGCACCAGGATGCTCAGGAGCAGAGATCACTGCTCCCAGGGAATCAGAGGGATCCCTGCCAGCACACCCTCTCCTCTGGAGGAGCAGGATGCTTGGAAGCAGATTCCAAGATCCCAGCCACCCCAGGCTCTCCTCTGGAGCAGCATCAGGATGGATACCCAGGAGCAGATTCCAAGCTCTCTGCTCCCAGGGAATCAGAGCACAGCCTGACCTCTGCAGCAGCACCAGGATACTCGGAAGCAGATCCCGAGATCTCTGCTCCCAGGGAATCAGGGGGATCCCAGCCACCCCAAGTTCTCCTCTGGAGCACCAGGATGCTTGGAAGCAGATTCCAAGATCCCAGCCACGCCAGGCTCACCTCTGCAGCAGCACCAGGATGCTCGGAAGAAGATTCTCATTCTGGGCTCCAAATTTTGCCAAAGCGCTGACGGCGGCTGCAGAGAGAACAGGGAGGTGTCAGAGGAACCCCAAATTCTGCATAAACAAATCCTCAAAACCCCAAATTTTCACTTTTCCTTTCCACACCATAAATCATTCAGTGATATGGAGAGATGAAAGCATTCATGTATTTGCACATGGAAATAGTTTTGTGATCAAGAGCAGCTAAACAGCTCTGAAAATTTCCCCTGGAATTTGAGAGAGGAGAGGAGAGGGGAGGAGAGAGGAGTGCTCCAGCACCACCCTAAAGGTCCCCAAATAAAAACCCTCTTTTATATTATAATATTATAATATAAATATTGTATTTTCTATTTCCTGCTTCCTAAAATGATCCCAAATTTCACATCCAGGCTGAGGAGAAGCCATTGAGTCACTCACCAGCCCTGACAGCCTCATTCTCCAGCACCACCCAAATAAAAAACATTTTTTCTATTTCATCCTTCATAAAACAATCTCAAATTTCATTTCCAGGATGAGAAGAACCCCACTCACCAGCCCTGACAGCCTCGTTCTCCAGCACCACCCTGAATGCCCCCAAATAAAAACCCAGAACCCCACTCACCAGCCCTGACAGCCTCGTTCTCCAGCACCACCCTGAATGCCCCCAAATAAAAACCCTCTTTTATATTATAATATTATATCGTATTTTCTATTATCTCCTTACTAAAATGATCTCAAATTTCATTTCCAGGTTGAGAAGAACCCCACCCACCACCCCTGACAGCCTCATTCTCCAGCACCACCCAAATAAAAACCATTTTTTCCTATTTCCTCCTTCCTAAAACCATCTCAAATTTCATTTCCAGGTTGAGGAGAAGTCAAGAAACCAGAATTCCAGCCTGGAGCTGCACTCACCGGTCCCCAAATAAAAACCCTCTTTTGTATTATAATATTATATTTTCTATTACCTGCTTCCTAAAATGATCTCAAATTTCATTTCCAGGTTGAGAACCCCACTCACCAGCCCTGACAGCCTCGTTCTCCAGCACCACCCAAATAATATTATATCGTATTTTCTATTATCTCCTTCCTAAAACCATCTCAAATTCCATTTCCAGGTTGAGATCCCCACTCACCAGCCCTGACAGCCTCGTTCTCCAGCACCACCCTGTTGAAGATGAAGCGGATGTACTTGGAGGGTGCCGGGGTCCTGGGCCCCTCCTTGCCCAGCAGGTGCAGGATTTTGGTGGCCAGCACCGTGTGCTCGCAGTCCTCGATGAACTCGCACAGGTGAGCCAAGCCCGACTCTTTGCTCTCGGGGTTCTCCTCGATGATGCCGATGATACAATCCACGATGGCTCGCTTGTACTCGAAGCCACCCTGCAGGAGGGAAAATTGGGGGATGGTGAGGCTCATCCTCACCTTTCAGGGATTGATTCTCGTGGGGAAAACGAGATGTTGTTGTTGTTGGAGTCTGAGACACAGAGTGTGAGCCCTTGTCTCTGATGCTTAACACGGAATTTCACACAACATGAAATTTATGGAAGTGTTTTCATGTTGATACACAAAAACAACTGTTAAAGTGAGATAGAAAAGCTAAAAGTGTGAGTGTGTAAATTAGAAAGTTTTCTTAAGTCACTGAGTGAAAAAGTTAAAGTTTAAACCAGTTTAAAAACCAGAAGACAAGATGGAAGATTTAGAATGTTGTTTCTTTTCCTCCTTCTTAATTTTCTTCTTCTCGTGGTTTTTGGGTAATTGCAGGTGATTGGACAGAAAATGTCACAGTGCAGCACACAGGTGATGGGTCATTGGGTCATTAAGAAAAATAATTAACGTGTCTGTTGTTAATTGGATAAAAATAAGTATAAAGATAAAAGAACTGCATAGTTCAGGGCCATTTTGTGCCCTGAAATGAGCCAAAGAGACAAGATGAATTAAACTTGTGCAGAAAGTCTGGAGAGACCTGCCAAGTTTTGTGATAACATCCTAATTAACACAAGAGAAACAAGATCCTAACGAGCTCTGGAGTCTTCTTCTGACCCAGAGAACTGAGATAAATAAATCCCCTTGAATATCCCCAAAGAGCTCAGCTCAGAGGAGGAGACTGAGAAATCCAGGAGTAGAAAAAAAAATACAGAAGAAGTGCAGCAGAATGAGAAAAAGAAACTAAAAAGAATTTTTAAAAGAAGTTTCAGTTTTGGTGGTTTTTTTTCAACTATTACTACTTGTTGCTGGTGGTTTTTGGTTTCTTCAGGGTTTTTTTTCAGGGAAACAAAACTTCTTGTTTTTCATATTTATTCATATATAATCAAGAGATTTGGTAGCTTTTCCCCAGACCCTTTTTGCTCAAGTTCAACCCCCAAAGCACAAAATGGCCCCAAATTACGCAGTTCTTTTATATTTATACTTATTCTTACTCAATTAACAATAGACATGTTAATTATTTTTCTTAATGACCTAATGATTCATCACCTGTGTGCTGCACTGTAACATTTTTTATCCAATCATCTGCTATTACCCAAAAACCTGGAGAAGAAAATGAAGAAGGAAAAGAGACAACACCTTAAATTTTCCATCTTGTTTTCTATTTTCTAAATTAGTTTAACTTTTTCACTCAGTGACTTAAGAAAACTTTAATTTACACACTCACACTTTCAGCTTTTCTAACTTTAACAGTTGTTTTCGTGTAACACCATGAAAACACTCCCATAAATTTCATGTTGTGTGAAATTCAGTGTTTTTCTGGATGTCAGCCATAAGATTCCTCAGATTCCAACACGAGATTTTGTACAAATTGGGGTAAAAAAAGGTGGATTGGGTGATCTCACAGGGCATTAACGATGCCTTAGGATTTGAGATTTGTTTTTTGAGGGGTCAGGCTCTTTCTCCAGGCAGCGCTGACAGCCTCAGGCTGCACCAAGGGAAATACAGGCTGGGTTTAGGAAATTAGGGAGAAGATTTTTACAGAAAGAGTGATAAAATAGTGGAATTTTCTGTCTGGGGATGTGGTGGAGTCACCACCCCTGGATGTGTTTAAAAAAGCCTGGATGTGGCACTGGGTGCCGTGGTTTGGTTGAGGGGTTGGGGCTGGGTTGGACTCGATCTTGGAGGTCTCTCCCAACCTGGTGATTCTGTGATTTTAGCTTTTATATTTTTCAGATCCTGCACTGCTTTAGTGTATAACTCTAAAACTCCATAGCCTGTCAGCTGCTGTTCTCCTGTTTTATCCAGACAAAACAATTCCTCTCTAGGCCTGAAACTCAAGGACACCTCACAGCCTCAGGCCCCGAGAGATGTAAACAAAAGTGAACTGGGGGGGGGAAACTTGGAGTAAATTACTTCATCACCTGAAGCTGTAATTAGAGGATTAACCCCTGATATGTAAATGAACCAAACCTATAAGTGTGTGCAAAACTCGTGACCATCGTCCATCCTGGCTGCAGCCTCTGGAGGGATTCTGACTGCCCCAGGTGTGATGCCTTAAGCTTTGGCTTTTGAATTTTCCAGATCCTGCGCTGCTTTAGCGCGTAACTCTGAGCTTCACAAAGTGTCAGCGAGTTCTCCTCGCAGCTCAGACACAACAATCAAACAGATTTTCAAGATACAACAAATTATCACCTACAACAATCCTGTCCCAGCCCCAGAACCAAGGAGTTGCTGCAGCTTCGGGCACAGAAAGTTTAACCAGCAGTGAATTGATGGAGCAGGCAGGGATGATGGGGATTCATTAACTGAAGCTGTAATGAGACAATTAACCCTGATATGGAAATGGACCAGAAGTTATAAAAGTGTGAAATTCGTGACTCAGAGTCCACCTTGGGTGGAGCCTCGGCCGCGCTCCTGCACTGCCCAAGGTGCCACCTTTAATAAATCCCAATTTTATTCCTTTAACTCTGCCCAGCCTCTGCTCCAGGGAGCCTCTCACAACATCAGGGGATAAAATAAACACCCATTTTATTCTCTTAATCAGCCTCTGCTCCAGGCTGACACTCCAAGGCATCACCAAATCCTGAGCATTTCACACAGACCTGACCCCACCAGGTGCTGGAATCACTCAGCCCCATCTCTCCATGTACCCACTGCCAGAAGAGACCCTTCCCATCACCAAGCAGGTCCAAAAACCCTCTCTGGAGCGAGTGTCCTACGTACATCATCCCTGAGCATGTTGGAGAGGAAGGTCATCATCACGCTGTGCTTCCGAGGGTACTTCTGGCACAGGGCACTGATGGCCTGCACGACCACAACCTGCAGGAAAACACACAAGGATGGGGGTGACCTGTTGATCTTCCTAGGAAAAATGTAGATTTTTTATCTCCTGCTGTCACTTTGATTGATAAAATCCATGGATAAGGATAAAAATCAGGGTGGGAGTGGAATGATTTTGTGCCAGGGTGATGCAAGGCCTGGCTCCACAAAAAAAATGGGATTTAGGGTGGAATGTTTTAACTCAAAGCTTTTTCTTTTCCTTTTCTTCCTTTCCTTACCTCTCCTCTTTCCTCTCTCCTTTCCTTTCTTCCTTTCCTCCTTCCCTCTTTCCTTTCCTCCTTCCCTCTTTCCTTTCCTCCTTCCCTCTTTCCTTTCCTCCTTCCCTCCTCTCTTTTCCTTTCTTCCTTCCCTTCCCTCTTTTCCTTTCCTCCTTTCCTTCCCTTCCCTCTTTCCTTTCTTCCTTTCCTCTTTTCCTTTCTTCCTTTCCTTTCCCTTCCTTTCCTCTTCCTTATCAGGATCCAATTTCAATTCTTGTCATTAAAACTCTTCACAATTTCAAACTCACCTGATGCTAATAATTCTCATAAAAACAAAGACTTAAGACCACTTTCAGCATGCTGATTTCGCAGAGCTCTGTTCCTCACGATGTAACTGAACAACAGAACCATCCTGAACCGATTCATTACCACTTTAACCACTAGAAAACTTACAAATTAGGTAGAAATTTATAATTAGCACAGCTTCCTACCCATGCATCAAGACTGATGTGATATAAACTCAAAAAAAAGAACATTTAAAACCCTTCTTCCTCTCTAAAACAACCAGAAGGAAGTACAAGATTTGCAGGATATTTGCACAGGAAGCAGGAATGCACTAAATGATATTTTTCTTTTCTTGAAGCGGTGGCAGGAAGGCTAGGATATTTTTATCTATAATACTCAGGATAATATCATAATCACAATAAAACAATAAAAAACAATAAAAAAAACAATAAAACAATCAGGATATATTTTTCACCCAGGATATTTTTACAGCTGGAAAGCACCTCCTGAATTTTACCCCGCCAGACAAAACCACCGAAGCATCGACAAACAAAAACTCCATTAAAATAAAAAACAACAAACCAAAAAATGGGAGAAAACCCAAAACCTGCAGCTGGGAAGAGCAGAGACACACCTTAAACTCATCTGAGATTTCTGAGACGAAGGAGGAGATCTGTTTCATCAGCCTGTCCACGCTGCTCTCGCTGCCCGTCTTCAGCAGCGTGGTGATGGCCAGCGTGGCGATGCTCCGGTTGGAATCCGTGATCAGGTTTTCCAGGTCCAGGTTGCAGGCTGTGACTGCAGATGGATGTTTCATGGCCACCTGCAAGGAATGCAATCCCAAAATTATGTGGGAGTTGTAGCATCCCGGAGTTGGAAGCGTTGGGAGCTCAGGGATTTTGGGTGCGGGGCTTTAAATTCATTTTAAATTCATTTTAAATTCATTTTAAATTCATTTTCTGGTGGGTTTGACAGTCAGGAGTTTTTGGTGTTGTGTTGTGCAGCTCTGAAATCAGAATATTTCCTTCATGTGGATTTTGTAATATTAAATATCCAAGATTCCAGCTGAAAGCTCACAGATTATCAATCTACAGCCATCCAGAAATGAGCAAGCACAGCCTGAACAGCAGGGAAGATTTCTGCTCCACCAGGAAACCCAGCATGGAAAAACCAATTCCCCAGCACTGGAATAATTCCAAATAAAATCATCCCAAGGACAGCTTGAGGTAACACATCATCAGGCACTGATCTCAGAGAATGAAGGTTTTGTTTGGAGGTTTTGAAGCACTCACTTTATTGAGGGTCCGGACGGCTGCGTAACGCAGGACGGGTTTGGGGGAGCTGCAGAAAAGCTGCAACTTTTTAATCCCACTTTGGTTAGAAATAAACTCCTGGGGTTTTATCTCACTTTTTAATCCCACTTTTTTGGGTTTTATACCGTTGGCTCTACATTCCAGCTGGAGGAGAGATTTTCCAGAGGAAATGTGGTTGTTCCATCCCTGGAAATGTCCAAGGACAGGTTGGAGAAGGCTTTGGAGCAGCCTGGGATAGTGGGAGATGTCCCTGCCCACGGCAGGGGGTGGCACTGGATGGGCTTGAAGGTTTTTTCTGATCCCAACCATTCCATGATTCCCTCCCATCCCAAATTCCTGCAGCTGGATGAAGACAAGCATCACCTCGTGCCACCTCTGCTTTCATTCATCAAAACCTCTGGATGGAAAAGGGATCTCATCCAGAAACTCTCTAACTTGGGGTTAAATGGCTTTTTAACCCCAGCTCAGCAGGAAATTCAGGCTTTGGGGATTGGAATTCTGCTGGATTTTCTCTCAATTTCTTTATTCCAGCTGTTTTCAGGGCTCCAAAGGGCAGTGACCAACCTGAGACAGCAGGTGCCAGCTCCCTGGCAGTGCAGTTTGGCAGGTGGATGATGGCAGAGGCAGCCTCATAAATCACCATCTCGTGCTTGTTCCGCAGGCAGCTCTCGATGAAGTCGAACAGGGGACTTTCGTGGCTGCAAACACAACAATCCCAGGAATTTAGGCTGGAAAAATCCTCTTAAGTTCAAGTCTAAGACAGCCATGACTACAAACACAACAATCCCAGGATCTTCTAGGTTGGAAAATCCCATTAAGATCGAGTTTAAGACTTTTCTGACTACAAACACAACAAACCCAGGATCTTTTAGGTTGGAAAAATCCCTCTAAGATCCAGTCCAAGACTTTCCTGGCTACAAATACAATCCCAGGATCTGCAAAAAGACTTTAAAATGCAGTCCAAGACTTTTCTGACTACAAATACAATGATTTTAGACCCCTCTGGCTACAAACACAACAATCCCAGGATCTCTTAGGCTGGAAAAATCCCTTTAAAATCCAGTCCAAGACTTTCCTGGCAACAAACACAACAATCCCAGGATCCTTTAGGTTGGAAAATTCCCTTTAAGATCCAGTCCAAGACCTTTCTGACTACAAACACAATGATCTCAGGATCTCTTAGGCTGGAAAAATCCCTTTAAGATCGAGTTTAAGACTTTCATGGCTGCAAACAACAATCCCAGGATTTTAGGCTGGAAAAATCCTCTTAAGTTCAAGTCTAAGACAGCCAGGACTACAAACACAACAATCCCAGGATCTTCTAGGTTGGAAAATCCCGTTAAGATCGAGTTCAAGACTTTTCTGGCTACAAACACAATGATCCCAGGATCTCTTAGGCTGGAAAAATCCCTTTAAAATGCAGTCCAAGACTTTCCTGGCTACAAACACAACAAACCCAGGATCCTTTACGTTGGAAAAATCCCTCTAAGATCCAGTCCAAGACTTTCCTGGCTACAAATACAATCCCAGGATCTGCAAAAAGACTTTAAAATGCAGTCCAAGACTTTTCTGACTACAAATACAATGATCCCAGCATCTTCTAGGTTCGAAAATCCCATTAAGATCGAGTTTTAGACCCCTCTGGCTACAAACACAACAATCCCAGGATCTCTTAGGCTGGAAAAATCCCTTTAAAATCCAGTCCAAGACTTTCCTGGCAACAAACACAACAATCCCAGGATCCTTTAGGTTGGAAAATTCCCTTTAAGATCCAGTCCAAGAC